TCTTCAAAATAGGAAATAGAAAAGCGATAGTGTAAGTGGCTAAGATAGAAAAAAGCAGTGATATCGTTTCTAAGAAAATATGTGAGTATACTTCGAAGGGTAGATTAACAAAATGAAAAGAACTATGTGAGCTATATGATACTATACTGAGTAGATATACAGCATAGCTCTTGGTTCATTTCATAGAAAATTTGTGCTAGTCTCTCGTATATGTCAGAATAATACTGTACTTAAAGTTTAGTTGGTATAGCTGTTGGTAAGATTCAAGAGTGTTATAACATATTATGCTGAGTGAATCGAGGACCCACCTACCTTATGAAAGTCGTCGAACGAAACGGATGCCACATTCCCACGAATGCGAGACGCCACGGCTTTACACATGTCTCCGACAAAATCAGGTACTGAAAACAACTTAGCTGCATGTTCCACACTCGAGCTGCGGTCTGCCATAAAGCCCCAATTATAGGAGAGCTGCAGCGACAGTCGAGCGTGATCAGCTGTCTCAACAACTATAACGTCGGTACAGAAGTCGGGCCCAAGCAGAAGGCAGATCGAGCTTATCATGCCAGGCTGTTTCGGTTTACCTCCACTCAAGCTCAGTATTGTGAAATGCTCATCGGGCCCAAGCATCACGAGATCTGGTCCAAAGATGATTCGCGCCAGCTTTCGCGAATAATCATAGATCCTCACAGCAGCATTATGCGGCACTCTAAAACTGACCACTCGGGTCAGATCTAACTGAGGAAGAGGATTTTCCGGAGTCGCGGTCTGGTGCTGATAAGAACTGCGATCGGCCAAGGGATCCTTGCCGCCGGCAAGCATTCGTTGAACAGCTAGCGGCAAAGGCTTGGCCCATAATTCTTCCTCGTGATTCAACATGTACGAGTTGCCTATGACGGCTCGTATACGCCCAGTCGTTGTGTTTAGCACATATATGCCCTCATTTTCATCCAGTGGAATGGACGATCGTTTGCAGATTACCTTCACCTCGACAGGCGGTACGTATTCCATAGGACCACGAATAAGCCATCGCTCACCAGGGCTGCGCTTCTAAAACGAAATAATTCTCAAGATAATGGAGGAATATGCAGTTTAAGAATAGTAAAGTCCCAAAAAGATGTAAATTTCAAATACAGTCAAAAAGCAAAGCGTAGACTATGAACTAGACTACGGATGACTCTCTCTTGCCTGACTCCAGCCACATAAAGTAGCAAAGGTAACAGCCAATATGATAATTATAGAAAATAAAATAAAGCTATTATTATGTAACGATGAGCGGTCGGTCTTGCAATAATACAACAAAAATTCTGTTTCTCTTGAAAATAAAGAAAATATTTGCATAACGTTAAAAACGAACTCGTGGCAATATGGCGTAGTGGTTAACGTGTTGAGCTTACAAGCTGTACTGTCATGGTTCGAAAAGATGTATACGTGGTCGGAATTGCAGTCCATTCTGGATGAGAACACCTTTTGGGAAAACTATGTGAAATTCAATGGAAATGTCAACTTAATGCATATAATTGTGGGAAAATTCTAATGCCAGTACTTAATCACCTTAAACGAAATAGGGTGAATACAACTCATATATCTAACCGATAGAATTGGTGAACATGGTAAGTAATGAGAAAGCTATTATGTAAATTCAGGCCTGTAAAATGGAGCATTTATTTTATACGAAAACGA